ACGGCTCCTAGTCCGTTTACAAACTACATTTTGTGAAATTAGCTCAGATAAATCTCTTACTGTGCGTTGTTTGCTTGTACTGTTATGTTATTAATTGCCACTGAGGTTTTTCTTGTTATTTTTGTTCAGTTTATGGACTTTTGGCTTTCTTTCATGGCTGTGGTCAGCACTTTTGTATATATGGCTACAATCAGTGAGACTTCAAAAAGAGCAATTCACACTGCTGTTGCTATAATTACTGCCTTGCTAGCTGAAACTGGTGCAACAAAGTACTGTGAAAAGTACTGTGACTGAACAATTTCTTTACTCTGGTATTGCTGTTGTCTTGCCCACAAAGATCTAAGCAATTACTCAACTTGCAGGTCAAGAAACATTGGTCTTGTTATAGCCATTGGCACACTGGGTCTTTTTGTTGCATGGCTATTGGAGTTCTCTACTTCATACAGACAAACATATTGCCCACAACAATGGAACTTGAATATGAATGAGAGGTATGCTGCCTGCAACAAAATTGTTGATAGTTTCGACCTAAAAGAAAAAAAGAAAGCAAGGGTTTTGCGCGTCTCTCTCTCTGCTCTCCTCTTATATATATACTAGTATATATATCCTAATGCTATCTATTGCTAATATATTATATCTAGTATAGTATATCTTAATGACTATGATAATATAGTATATATATATACTATATAGTATAGTATTAGTAGTACTATAATATATAGAGGAAGACGAGAGAGAGAGAGAGAGAGAGATGGTAGTAGATTGCACATCTGACCGAGGTTGCGGATTTTCATTGCGTTGGGTTCCAAATTTTTTTGAAAAAATTGGGTGGTTGATAGTATGGCGCACGTTTTGATAACTATAATAGTAGGCCTAGCGTCAAGCTTTATATTCTATATATATATATATATATATATATATTGATATATATATATATAGTATAATTATATAGAGGAGAGAGAGAGAGAGAGTAGAGAGAGAGGAGAGAGGAGAGAATAATGGAAGGTTGAGGCTGGCATACTCACCTAGCGCCCCCATGGAGCGCTGGCAAGTATATGACATGTGAGGCCCACACGCGATGTGCACTAGTAGGGGGCTCACACTGTCATTACACTTGCAGCTCACGGGAGATAGGTGGGAGCTGGCGGCAGGCTTCCAGGCCTTTATATTCCGCGGCGCCCCGCGCCGGCCCGGCGCCTTTCTATTTAATTTCCTCATATATATATATATACTATAATATAATATATATATATAATATATATATATATATATATATATATATATATATATATATATATATATATAGAGGAGAGAGGAGAGAGGAGAGATATGAGTATGCTTGGGGTAGGCAGGGGACGAATCCTTTGAGAGGCACAAGCAATTTTGGTGGCTTGTAGTTGGGTAATGGGGATATGTAATCGCATTTGAATGAGTGGGAGGGGATTGTGCGCACATCACACGGCAAGGCACAACTTTTTGTGGCTTGGTAAGCCGAAGCATCACCCATATTTCTCAAATATATATATATATTATAATATTACTATATATAATATATATATTATCATATATATATATATATATATATCAATGTATTGTTGTACATGTCCCGCAGCCGCCTCTTGAAATATGCATTATGACAGTTTGGCCTCTGTAAACAAGCTTTGGCATCAATCTGACATGATGGCCTTATGATTTTTAGGTGTGGTTACATCTGTTAAATAAGATTGATAAATAAGTATTTTGAGAGGTATTTCACTTACTAGCTCCTGCAGTAAATATCTTAAGACTCTTAGTACTCCTCTTTATTGGTACTAATTTTGAATAAATGAAATATTGCCATAAATCTAAGCCATATTCATATGTCCATCTGAATGCTGCATCATAGGTAGAAACTGTCAAAAAATTTTAATTCATCAGCAAACTATAGAAACCTAATTTGGTTCTTCCTGCAGATGGCCGAATATCAAAAGATGGTTCTGGAATCTTATAAACATATTGAATAAAAGGTTCCGTTGGCGATTCGTATTTTTGGGTTTTATCATGTTAGCATTTGCTGCAACAAGCTGGACATTGGAAGCTAACAAAACTTACTGGATTTGGCACAGGTAAGAAATATCTTCTACTTTCGAGCCTTTAACATTTGGCTAGCAACATTGACATTAAGAAAAAGCACAATTTTTAGAGAAAAAAAAAACTGCAATGAATGTTGCGTCGTTGCGATCAGTTTGGGTTCAACAAATGTTGCAGATTCTCAAGAAGCAATTAAAATGTAAAAGGCAATGCCACCTCATCAAAAAACCGTTTTCCGTTCCAAATCCTGTAGCTGTTGCATTTAAAAAAAAAACTGAACGCTGAATTTACAGTGGGACAATGGAAATGCATTTTTCACGATAAGAGTAGGCAGCATTTGCTACGTTTTCTTTTTACAGCAAACCAAACTGCATTCTTGTTTAACTGCAATCCGGTTCCTATTTACGTTTTCACATTTTACTCAGAATTCTTCGTTTTGTATCCATCTGTTTGCAAGTTTAATTGGGAAATTGTTCTTTTGAGATGCTTATTTCTTTCTGCAGTTTATGGCACATTACCATATACACATCTTCCTTCTTCTTCCTATGGTCAACTTCTGTGAAGAGAAGTGATGACCCCCCACCTGTAGCTGTTTATGAACTGACACGGCAGGACTCTCTGCCTAGAACTGAGTAGCAGAAAAAAAAAGGGTAAAAAGACTTCACACGGAAGAATAATGCATCAGTAGACTGTACCTATACTTGTCACATAAAATATGATTACATTGGAGTTGGCAACTTTTTTGTTCGAACCTGTGTGATATCGAAACATAGACCTGTTTGAAACCTGAGATTTCATTGGCTTCGATGATGAGATTAGATTTTTGACTGCCCCGTCATGCAGCCTTTCGACAAAGACAGCTTCATGGAGTATAGAGATTCTTTTTATCTCCCATCAGAAGAAATTAACTATATGTTATTATGTAAGTTAAAAGGTGTATAAACAGATAGAAGGGTCCGCTAATTGCGTGTTTGTAGAAAAAATGATAGAAATAATGGAGGAAGTTATGGATGTAAATCGCCTCCCCGATATATGTATCCCCTTGTGAATGAGACTAGGGGCAGATTTGGTATTTAAGTTCGTCTTCTCGTCGGACCACACAAAAGACCCGTTACCGAGGTATATATGTATGTACAATTGGTGGTGGTGTTTTATTCGGTTGTAAATGTACATACAGGACAGAATAATTGCACATGTGCCTTGGATTATTGGAATATCTGATACTGTTTACTAGAGTTCGTGCTTTGTGTTTATATATTTTGCTTCTGTTCATATGTGGAATTGTCTCCGTCTCCATTTTGTAACCTATGAAGCAACCCAAAGTCTAGTAGAACTGCTGGTTTCTGCTGAAGAACAGGCTTACGAGTATCGTTGCGACAGGTCCGCAGGAAATCGTAAGACCCCACTTGCGCAGAGTATTCAACTAAAACTCGGAGCGAATAATTATGATGCTTGTGTATCCGAGACCGTACATATTTCAGAAAATCCTACGGGTTGTAAAAATTAATTTTATTCAATATAATTGAATATTTTTAAAAGGTAGGGTATTTACAGCAGGAGCTGTAGATAAGGTGAGTGCAAGAAACAACATCTGAGAGCAAGGTGCGGCTAGTAAATATTGCATTCATCAAGCAGTAAGACAGCCATATGAACAAAATTTTGAAAGATTATATATAAAAATGAAAAGGCAGATAGCCATTATAATATATTTAAGTATATAAATAGATATATATATATATATATATATATATATTATATATATATATATATATATATATATATTATATATTACAATGTAATTTTATTTGCCGCAATATATTAACATGTAGCATTTGGTACTTGTATGAAAGTAAATCATGTTTAAAGAGAAATAAAATCCTTCTTACTTAACATTATATTGTTTCCATTTGATCGCAACTTTATAAAGTATGTAGAATTGTCTAGTAAACGACCAAAACATTTGATTTAGGCTCAAAAGGACAAAACAGAATATGCACATCAGAATTACTCTCTCCCAACAAAATTATCCACAAGGATCACGTGCAAATAGAAATATGATCCATGAACTATATAAATGTGCATTATTTGAATCTCCACTAATGACAATCTTATGTCATGCCTTCCTTCATTGCCTTTAACTCTTGGTTCATGTAATCTCGTGCAGCAATCAAATGATACACAATTTTTGTTTGCGCGCTTTCCAGTAATAAATGAACATTACACAAATTACAAATACAAAATGAACCATTACGTTCCTCCCTTCTGAAGTGCATATCTACAATAATACACTCAAAAGCTTCTTTTTACAATACAAATGTACAGTAACCATCCAAAATCCAAATCCCCCATCAATAAAATCCAACATTTACAACTGGCACATGCAAGAATTTGCAAAATATAACATATCCACTCGATTTTAAGTTTCCTCAGTGGAAGTGTTAGCTCTTAAAGAGGGTAATAGCATATTTGAAGACAACAGTTCTCTATAATCCTTGCGGATACCCCATAAGATTTCAGCACATCTCCTCATACTGGGCCTCTTTTGTCTCGTTGGAGACAAACACTGCAACGCTAGCTCAAGGATTTTCTCCACAGCAAGATTAGTTGCCGGGCTTTGTGGAAGATTTGGGTCTAATACTTCAGCTGCATTCCCATCCATAAACTTCTTCATTGCCTGCACAAATAATGTCGCAAAAGTTAGAAGATTTATGGTACAACAAATGTGTACAAGTAGGTATCTGCTACCCAGTACTCTAGTCTAATATGTATATGCTGAGTATTATTCTATAGTGAAAGGATGAGGAGAAAATGAATTAAAAGATTGGACATGCGATGTACTAAAGTGAATCTGTCAACAGCAAAATGTAATATTTGACATATTGCATGACAGAGATTTTTAATTTTATTATTTTCTAAACCATGGATCATATCATTTTGAAGTATATATTAGGGTATATTGAGAAGGGAAAATGTCGTGATGGACAATGAGACAAGATCAACCAGTTTCAGATAATAAACTAGAGAGCAATCACAAACAACATATAGCATAATAACTTAATAATAAAACTGACATCAGTTAGCATAGAATTTGGTCATATACTCATGATGAAACATAGGTCTGAAATTTCTGCAACATCTAGAATCAGAATCTTGAAGTCAGAATCAGAAACAAAGGTAAATAAGTGCAAAGTCTTTTTGTTTTGAAACCCTATCAGCCTTGTATTTTTTTTTATAAACATTCATTTTACACTTATTGATGCCTCTGAAAGAAAATTGGTTTTATACCATATTACCCTTCTTATTGCTCAAAATAAGCATCATCAAGCATTGCTTTCTGAAGAAGAAGAAAAAATATATAGTTTTACAAATTGGAGTATTCTGATGTTCACTGGATTCATATTTAAAAAATTCTTGGAAAATAAGACATACCCATCTCACAGTAACTCGTTCTTTAATCTCTCTTTTTGGTTCAATGGGTCGCCTTCCAGATATCATTTCCACTAGCAATACTCCAAAAGAATAGACATCACTCTTCGCAGTCAGTTGATAAGTTTGAAGATATTCTGGATCCAAGTAACCAGCAGTCCCTTTAACTTGGGTTGAAACATGTGTAACATCAGCCTCAATTGCACCAAGCCGAGCAAACCCAAAATCAGCAACCTTAGCACGCAAAGTTTCCGTAAGAAGAATGTTCGAAGACTTAATATCTCGATGAATAATAGGATGATCTGCATAAATAGTAATTCAAATATATCAATCAGGATTATAAATTGAAAATAATTTCCTTCTCGAACTTCTACAAATAAGATTAACTTAGAGATCAAAATTCTCTATTAGAACAAATAACTTCTCTCAGTCTATTTAATTCTTGTCTTTAAGAAAGCAATCAAATTTCTAGGATTTCCAATGTTACCTGCATACATATGGAGATAAGTAACAGCATGAGCAATATCAGTAGCAATATCCAGCCGTGCAGAAAGATCTATAGTATTTCCCTTCAAACCTGTATTTTCAAAAGAAGCATGATTTCTGATATCCAGGTTTTTGACACTGTAGGAAATCTTAGTGACTGGTCTTCTAAACTTTAGAAAATACACCATGACGGTAAAAAAGAACTTACAGTCAAGATGCTCTCTTAGAGTCCCATTAGGAACATACTCAATCACAAGTATCCTCTCATCCTCATACTCCAGATATCCAAAACACCGTACTAAATTCAAATGCTCAATGGATGCCATAGTCTGGATTTCGGTTTTGAACTCTGCATTTCGATGATTATCATGAGGATTCTGCAGAAAGTAATAACAATAGGAATCGGTCAATATTTCCACTTAACACTACAAAATATAAGGACAGTTTCATCACAAATATTCTCTCTAACCTTTTTATCACGTTTAACTGCTACTAATGTGCCATCGTCTAGCCTTCCCTTGTAAACTGTTCCAAAGCCACCTTGTCCAATCTTTAAGCTAGGGGAAAAGTTCTTTGTGGCCTTTTGGATATCTGTGATTGTGAACCTCTTAACTCCAGGTTCTCTTTCTGAAGAAATGTTTCTGCTGATGTATGACCCTTTTCCTGATTTTCTCCTTTCACTTCCATGTGTGTGAGCCAATAGGGAACCTAGAAGAGAGCGGCCAAGCAATAAAAAATTAGGTTTTAGTTACTCGCTACCTTCATCTAACAAAAAGATGTCTGGTTAATAACAGATAATGCATGTAGCTAAATTATGTAAATAGCACAAAAAATGAGACTGAAAGAAGTTGGCATATCACTAATTTTTTATAATAAATTTGAGTAACATAAAATCCTTCCGTTACATGGGAGACTTGTTAACTTAATGACTTGGAAAACTAATAATACTAAGGAATCTAAATCCCCTTCACTAGTAGGAGTGATGTGTGCCTCTCAAAAGTTTGATTCCCTGAACTTCGCACCTCCAGAACGCGCGCAATGTAGAAATTCGTCAAGTCCCTACATCCTAGAAAAGATGATCAACATGTCATCGGCGCGTGAAAGGGAAAGTGAGAACGTCAGAGAGTTTGCTAAACCTCCCTCATAAACATACATTTGACCTGGCCAAGAAACTTTACCCTCGGACTAATCCTCCCAACTTATATTTCTTATTGCAGCTACCAAACGAGGATGCAAACCCTACCCCTATTATTTTGAAGAATCAATTACGAATATATATGACAGCATTAACCACTCTTTTAATGGTCTTAATTTACATGCTTAAAACATTTATGCATATTTCCACAACCCATGTGATGTCAGAAAATTTGTTAATATAAGTATACATGCACACATCAACACGCGCACGCTAGCACGCGCGCCTAGTCAATACCCTTCTTTGTAGATTTATCATGATCATATCATGAATTTGTATCGCATATGTAAGTGTGTAATTTCCTAATAACAGTTAAAAAAAAT